CCCCCCCCAACCCGCCGGCCCCTCACTATCATCCCAACCACCGCGCAATCCCAGTCCACCCCTCCCTTTTCTACCCGATGCCACCCTTACCCTTCCCCCATTCCGCCGGTCCAAAAACCCATCTCCACCAACATAATGATGAGTCCAATCATCATAATTACTTCCCTAAATTAACTCAAGCAATAAAGTAATAATTTAAAAATTATTTGAATTCAAGTTCAAATTTCAATACTTTCATTAATTACAAGTTCTAATTTAAGAAAGTTCCTAAATCTAGTCTAATTTAAATTTAAATTAGATTTGATTTCAATGTTCCACTTCCTAAATTTAAATAGCTTGTTTTGGAAGCTTTTAATTTCTCCCCAAAATCCCTTTCTCTCTCTCTCTCTCTAATAATATATATATTGTCGCGGCCCCCCTTCCATGCCACCTCTCTCTCCAATTAAATCACCATAATCCCCTCTCTAATCGCCGCCCTCTTCCCCTGCCTATTTGGAGTGATTTTGAATTTCAAAATCTCTTCTTTGCCTATCTAGAAAAAATCTGAAATAATTTCATATTTCCTAAGCCACCCTTTTCTCTTCCCTCTCCCACTACTTGAAACCCCACCCTAACCTAGCTGAAATCCCCTTGCCTCACACTCTCATAACTTATTCTCCTCCAAAATCAAATCCTCTCAAGGATAAAGTCCGACAAGCTGACTCGCCCTCCATGAATGGCGATCCTAAAGTCGATCACGGATTTGCAGTACAACTCCAAGTACAAATCGACATCCTTCAGTTGCCCTTCTGTTGATCTCGATTGGGAATTAGAAGATTGTTGAAAGCTACATCAATCATATACTCTATCATCTTCACCGAGACGATCGACGAGCACGACAACTGAAAAGTGCAATCATGCGAAAAAATTCAATCACCAACTACGATCCCATACTTCCCCATCCCTACCCTCTCGGCTACTCTCCGACGAACAATACCTTTAGCGTCACTGTCTCATGGTGGCATCACTAGGGTTACTTTTAATCTTTCTCTGCTAAACACCACTTCAGGAGCGAGAGTTGAGGGAACTCAAGGTGACATTTCTAATTGTTAAGCATGGATTTTTGTACCCTTGTCGTTAGTTTTTACTTATTTATTTTGTTGTTATGTTGCAAATCCTTTTAATCTACTTTGTAATCGTATACTATTACATAACTTTAATTGAAAATTCAGGAATCTAATTTGGTGGAACATAAGTTACAATTGCAAAGATCTCTTCAAATTATTAGTTAATTCAAAAGAAATTATTGTTTTCTACATGTTTCACATCATCATGGTATCCAGAGCATGGTTCTGATGCGTTCGCCTCCAATCAGCGAGGGGGGCGACGCACCCCAGCGAGCGGAAGCGGCTGGGAGGGAGCCGCGTCGTTCGGCCAGCGAAGGAACACGGGGCGCAGGCAGAGCGGCGGGGGTTCGGGTTGCCTTGAGCAGAACCGTCCAATCCTGACTGGTTTGGCTCGGTCTGCCCTGAGTTGGCGGTTCATTTTGGCAGCCCACTAGTGGGTTTTGTTGGCTTTTGGCTTGCTATAAGTAAGAGAATAGGGGGAGATATTCTAGGGTTATGAAAGATTGAGTTGTCTCTTAGCCTCCTTAGTTCTTTCTCTTGTTTTTCTAGGGTTTGTAGTGGGAGACCTTGTCCTTCTCGAAGTGGACAATTGTATCTTGTTTTCCCTTGGATTTTGAATGCAAAGGTTCTTCTCTCCTCTCACCCTCTGTGTTTATTTTTCTTCGATTTGGTGGAGAAATCTTTCTTTGAAGGAGCATTAGGGCAAACCCGAAACTTTGGGAATACTAGAGCGTATCAAGTTGGTATCAGAGCTCTCGATCTAGACGGCTTTGGCATCAAAGAAGTAGAAGTTTTTGGAGGGGGAGATGAGCCAATTGAAGGAGGAAGTGGAGAGAAGCTTTCGTTCTATGGAAGGAAAATTCTCAATCCCTAGAGGACGAGAGATTTGGGGGAATGGAAGACGATGATCCGGAAATTGGTAGACGCCCAAGTTGCTCAATCAAATCCGAAGGAAAAGGGAAATCGCCGATGTCAAACCCTAACCCTAATTTCTCATTAGGGGAAGATGGAGTAAGCCAACCGGGAAGCCATGAAGGCACCACCGCTAATCTCGCGCCAAGAGCCCTTGCTCAAGGGAAGGTGGGCATGCGTGGTGGGTGCATCGTGGAGGGCCGCCCCGGTCAAGGGGAAGGGAGCCGACGTGACCCTCACGGTCCGTATGGGAGGGTGGCCGATGAGACGGGGAGGAGTGCAAGAGCATGGGTCGCACCAAACTGGGAAGCCACAAAGGCAGGGTGGCCGAGAGGTCCAGGATGGCCGCCGAGTTGGGGCCGAAGCCACATGAGAGGTCGGGGGTGGTTGCCGAGACAACCGGGAGGTACAAAACGAGGGGAGCCGACCCTTGGGAGCCACAAGAAGCGGGTGCCAACCTTCGGTATCCAGGGAAGCTGGAGGGGAGACCTCAGGGAGGGATTCAGCATGGGCCAATGGGAGGATGGGAAGGAATCCTACCTCAGACAGATACACGGAAGAGGAAGTGAAGGTCCCCGTATTCGAAGGGGAAGATGTGTACGGATGGTCTACCGGTGGACGATTTTCCGCCGTTACGGCGTCGACGTTAGAGGAGGAAGAAAGCTGGATGGCTTCCCGATTTTGCTTGGAGGGAAATCATTGGCTTATACCAAAGCGGATCAATGGTGAGCTGACGAAGTGCAAGATCAATCCTTTATACGGGAGTGCAGCGAAGATTTCAGGACTAACGGGGCTACACTGCACAGAGTTCAGATCCGTGCCCTAATCTCTTTCCCCCAACCCGCCGGCCCCATCACTATCATCCCAAGCCACCGGCAATCCCAGTCCACCCCTCCCTTTCCTACCCGATGCCACCCTTACCCCTTCCCCCATTGCCGCCGGTCCAAAAACCCATCTCCACCACCATAATGATGAGTCCAATCATCATAATTACTTCCCTAAATTAACTCAAGCAATAAAGGAAATAATTTAAAATTATTTGAAATTCAAGTTTGAATTTCAAATACTTTCATTAATTACAAGTTCTAATTTAAGAAAGTTCCTAAATCTAGGTCTAATTTAAATTTAAATTAGATTTGATTTAATGTTCCACTTCCTAAATTAAATAGCTTGTTTTGGAAGCTTTTAATTTCTCCCCAAAATCCCTTTTTTTTCTCTCTTTCTCTCTCTATATGTCGCCGGCCCCCCTTGCCCATGCCACCTCTCTCTCCAATTAAATCCCCATAATCCCCTCTCTAATCGCCGCCCCTC